TACACACCCCTTAATTCGAACTAGTAAGTTCGAACTAGGCTTAGTCCTCGTAGAATGAGGTTTACCTAGTTCGAACTAAGCGCTCTGCTAGTTCGAATTAAGTTCGAACTAGCGGAGCGCTAGTGTAGCGCCTATCAAAGTTAATTCGAACTAATGTCCGTTAGTTCGAATTAAGTTTGTAGTGTAGACATACCCTTGGAGCTTGGGTGTGGGGACAGTCTGTCATTCACCCTCTTGTCCGTGGACCCAGAGAAGGCGTTTGACCAGGTATACCACAGGTAACTCCTGGGCACCCTACAGGCCTTTGGCTTCGGGCTCCATTTTGTAGGCTTTCTCCGGGTGCTCTACGCCTCCATGGAGTGTTTGGTCAAGCTCAACTGGACCCTGACGAAGCCAGTCAGCTTCGGGTAGGGAGTACGTCGGGGTGACCACTGTCGGGCCAGTTGTACCCTCTGGTGATCAAGCCCTTCCTCTGTCTCCTCCACCGGAGGTTGAAGGGGTTGGTGCTCCAAGAGCCAGCACTGCAGCTGGTCCTGTTGGCATATGCCGATGATGTGCTCCTCATGGTCCAGGATCCAGGAGACCTGATGCAGGTGGAGGCTTGCGAAGCCATCTTCTCAGAGGCCTCCTCCACCTGGGTCAACTGGTTCAAGCGCTCTGGCCTGTGGTCAGGGACAAGTGGTAGGCAGGCTTCAGGTCATCAGGTTGTGTGTGGGACTGCTGCTCTATCTTGGTGTTTTTCTATTCACCACGCATCACTCCCCACCAGAAAACTGGCAAGGTTTGGTGGCCAGGGTGGGTGAGTGGCTGCAGAGATGGACAGGACTGCTCCAGTGTCTTTTCCTGCGGGGGAGAGTGTTGGTGCTGAACCAACTAGTCCTGTCCATGCTCTGTCACCAGCTCAACACCCTGAGCCCAGTTCCGAAGGTCCTGGCCTGGCTCCAGAGCATAGCCCTGGAGTTTTTCTGGTCAGGACTGTCCTGGGTCTGTGAAGGGGTCCTGTGTCTCCCCCTGGAGGAGTGGGGACAGGGCCTGGTTTGCATGAGCAGCCAGGTCTGGACCTTCCACCTCCAGGCCCTGAAGAGACTCCTGTATAGTGCAGGTAGTCCGGCGAAGAGCACTTTGGTGCACGCCTTCCTCTGCCACCTCCGAGGACTCTGATATGACTGGCAGCTCTTTTTTATCCACCCGAGGGGTCTTCCATGAGACCTCTCAGAGTTGCTGGAATTCTACCAGGAACTTCTCCAGACCTGACCAGGTCCGTTGTGGCCACCGAGGGAGTAGACCTCCTTGATAAGCCCCTGCTCCACAATCCAGCTTTGTGCATGCAGGCGGCAGAGTCTCCCATGGTGCACCAGAGATTGATCCTGGCAGAAACCGCCAAGGTCAGAGACCTCCTGGACTACAACAGGGGGGATTGGGTGGATCCCCGTGCGCTCACTTGGCTCATGGGGCTTTCTATCTCCTGAGTCCCTCTGCATGTGCTCTAAAAGGTGAAGGAGGTCTTGTCACAGCCCACTCTCGATTTCCTCCAGTGAGCCCTTTGAGAGGGTATCTTCCCCCCCCCATTGCAAACCCTCCTCCCTTTTTTTCAGATGCTTGTTCCACAGGCCCCTCTACCCCCCCCCTTCCCTGGACCCCCAGCTGGCTGCAGG